CCAGTAATAAATAATGAGCCCAAGACCACGAAGAGCTGGGCGTGGTGGTTCACACTGGAGCACAGCTCCTGGGAGGCTGAGGCAGGATCACATAGGTCAGCCTCAACTACGGAGCTCCTGCCTCAAAGCCAAGGGGGAAGACGAGGCTCACTAGCAGAGCAAGCAAGGCCCCAGGTCTGACCCTAGGGCTGCAAACAAACAAAACCAGCCAACCAAGTCCAGGTGACAACTGACAAAGCAGGCAGACATTTCCAAACGCACTGCTTAAAACGGACAACACACGACCTCAGTGTGCACGGACGACACACGACCTCACTGTACACGGATGACACACGACCTCAGTGTGCACGGACGACACACGACCTCAGTGTGCACGGACGACACACACAGACACGGAGAAGGAACAGGAAATTTCAAACAGTCAAAGAGAGTACCTTCCTAGTTTGCTGAAAAACTAAAGTTACACGAAACAGCCTCTCCATAAACACACACACACACACACACACACACACACACACACACACACACATACACACACTCACACACTTCTAAACTCAGAGACCAGGGAAAAACATGTAATTAATATTTACAAATATTTTAAGGTGAACATTATATGTAAAACAGCAAATAAGTGTCTTTGTTTTGTTTCCCGTTACTATGGACGACTACGCCGACAAGCGACACGCACATGCACACATGAGTGAAGGGAAAAGCATACCCAGAGAGCCGGCCACCACCAGTGCTGCTGGGAGCCCCTAACCCCTGAGCAGGAACTCAGGGGCACCCATGCCTTGCACTGCGGTTTTCTTTTTGGAGAACTGTCACCCAGGCAGGGCAATTTCATCCAAGCTGTTAAGTTACATTTTAAAATTAGCTGAGTAGTGGGTCTGCATAAGACATTTTCATACACCCTGAGTTTTGGTTAATTCTCCCACTACCCCTCTCCTCCTCCTCCCCTCCACATCCTGTTCAATCCCCACTTAATTTATGAACCTCCAGCACACTCTCCCCGTCCTTCATATACCATGCAGTCTGCTATCCTAACATATGAACCTCCAGCACACTCTCCCCGTCCTTCATATACCATGCAGTCTGCTATCCTAACATATGAACCTCCAGCACACTCTCCCCCTCCTTCATATACCATGCAGTCTGCTAACATATGAACCTCCAGCACACTCTCCCCCTCCTTCATATAACATGCAGTCTGCTATCCTAACATATGAACCTCCAGCACACTCTCCCCCTCCTTCATATAACACGCACTCTGCTATCCCCCCACTTACAGCTTTTAATTGGACTATGAGACAGTAAGTGGCCACAAGCTTTTCATGCATCCTTCCATTGGGTTAGCTTTCCCCTCACTCCAATTTCTTCCATACCCATGTGCCTCTCCCCTGCTTAAACAGATGTACCTGGAATCTACTACCTCCCTTGAAGCCTGGTATGAGAACCCATTCAAACATTCCTCACCAACACCACATGATTAGATACTAAACACTTTCTTTTCTTTTAATCAGTCCTAGAGAAACAAAGCAAAAAGAAAATACTCAATTTTGTCACTTACACAAGCATTTTGTACAACTGCAACAATCTCTTATGGAGGCATTAACAGCACTCACTGTAAGTTCATAGTTCACCTAGGAATTAAGGAAATGAATTACACTCCTTAGGAGTAAAATAATATTTACTCAAATGTTAAAAAAAAAATAAGCAATTGGTTACATAAACCAGTGAAAGACAATGCTAATTTCTTTAGAAAGTCAGAGTGTCAATACAGTAAAGTGTGGCTTTAACAACTAAAGGGGGCCCCCACAAAGGAGCCTAGAAATGTGTCTTGAAGAAATAGTACACAGGAGGTTGGGTCCAGTGCACTGGTCCCAGTTTCATGGAAGGTGGAGGCAAGCACATCACTTAACCCACATTTTCTTTTTCTTTCTTTCTTTCTTTTTTTTTTTTTTTTCCGAGACAGGGTTTCTCTGTGAAACCTTAGCTGTCCTGGAACTCACTCTGTAGTCCATGCTGACCTCAAACTCACAGAGAGATCTATCTGCCTCTGCCTCCCAAGTCCTGGGATTAAAAGTGTGCGTAACCACTGCCTGGTAAGCCCAGGTTTTCAAGGCCAGCCTAGGCAACACAGCAAGACCTCATTAAAAAAAATTTTATAAATATTTCCTGCCAGGTGGTGGTGGTGCATGCATTTAATCCCAATCCCGGCACTTGGGAGGCAGAGGCAGGCATATCTCTGTGAGTTTGAGGCCAGCCTGGTCTACAGAGTGAGTTCCAGGACAGCCAGAGCTACATGGAGAATCCTGCCTCAAAAAAACAAAAAACAAAAAACAAAAAACAAAAACCAGTGTATTTTTCCACTTATAATTTCAGTATTTTAGCTCTTCTACAGCAGTTTTTGGTAAGTGGTGTTAGCATCTGTGGTTAACACGAGGAGTCCCACAGTAATCATCTCTGAAATGTCATTTCCTCGTTTCTGTGTGCACACTGGTCATCTAAGCACACTGTTCCTCTACTGCATTCTTACCTCAAAGCATGTCTTTTTAAGGAGACAACCTGCTGATCCTGTTTATTTCTTCTGCTGCTGTCGGGCCTTCAAGGTCATGCTTCTGACTGCCAGTGTTCCCTTTATTTCACATTCTTTTATGAGTACTTCGTATTTCAGAGACAAGGGTACAGACGGAGCACGTTAGATGACCACTGTCTAGTAAAAATCCGAAATGGAGTACACACAAACTCTCTACATATGATAGGAGTCTGCTAAGGAAAATATTTTAAATAATCAAATGAGATATTATGATCCTTGGCCCTGACAATAAATACAACATGCATGCCAGTAACCACAAGTGTACAGCAATCTATTAGATGAGAAACTGACAGCAGCCACGTTTCAAGTCATTCTCCACATTCAGCTAGATGTAGCTAGTCTGCCAAGTGTTATGGTTAAATGCTTTGAGAGTTGGCTGGAATACAGCTAGCTTTACTAGCGAACACTGACCCAGCCAAACCTGCTCAGAGGCTCACACAATACACATTGCACCAGCAAGCCACCACGTGCTGCTTAACCTCCCTGAGACTCTGGCTCTGGAATTGAAGCTGCCGCCATCCCTCCCCTTCAGACCCAAGTACATTTTTCTCAGCGTGCCCTTCAAGACCCCTGTCCAGGGATGGGCGGCTGCTGTGCTCCTTGGCCCAGTGAGAAAGGGAGAGAAGCAGAACAAGTCATGAGTGAGGACGCTGTGGTATCGAGCACAGGTGTGTACATTGTAAAAGTCAAAAGACTTGGGGCTGGAGAGATGGCTCAGGTTAGGAGCACTGGCTCTTCTTCCAGAGGACCCAGGTTCAATTCCCAGAACTCACATGGCAGCTCATGACTGCCTGTAACTCCAGTTCTAGGGATCTGACACCTTCACACCAATGCACATAAAATAAATTTAAATAAGTTATTTTAAAAAAGTAAAAAGACTGCTGTCTTGAACTGGAGGCAAATCATCTCAGACACGTTCCTAATGCAAGAAACTCAGCTACTGCTTATCCTGTGATATAAAAATGCTGTGGTGGGAACAGCTGAAGGCCTGGGACCCTCCTTATGGGTGTCTGGGTGTCCGGGGTTTCTGCTGGATGGTGAGAGTCTGATGGGATGCTCTCCTGTCTTTCTGTGGCTTGCTATTTAGTCTTTTATTCTCATTTGCTGTATACTTAAATTCACTCCATTGAAACAGGAACTACAGCTATCATGGATCATTCTCCATAAAAACAAAACAAACAAAACTTGACAATAAAAAAATAGCCCAATATGGAGACTTTAAAATTTGCCAGATGATACCAATTTGAACACTTGGGTTTGTTTTCGGTTTGATATATCTGGTAGGCACTGGGCCAGAGTTCAGATCCCCAGTACCCACATGATTACCAGGTAGGTGAAGCCAGCTGCCTATAGATAATCCCAGCACTCTGGAAATAGAGAAGGGGATGCGTGAGGCAAGCTAGCTGTATAGATGAGCTCTGGGTTCAACTGAGAGAGTCTACCTCAGCGAGTAAGATGGACAGCAATGTAGAAAGTCTTTGATGTTAACCCTGTACCTACACATGAATGTGAACACAAGTGCACATGTGTCCACACATGTGTACCACGCACATATACACATAAACAAAAACAATGAAGAGCTGTTATGTCACAGTGGGATTATCAATATGCTGAGTTTCAGATTTGTAGAAATATTATTTGTAGAAATTAAGTTTCAATAAATACATTGCAAGATATTAAATGATGAAAAAGAACTAGCAGTTTCCATTTTCTCTGTTTTTACCAATAACATATTTTATTAATTAATGACAAACTTGAACTAATCATCAAACTATACTACATAAAGGGCTTTTGTAAAAATGCATTCATCTCCTGATAATAAATAAATGCAGCTTTGTACAATTAGAAAACCAAGACAGTAACAAATAACAAAATAAGAAGAAAATGGATCCTGGGTCCAAAACCCAACGACTAAACCAGAGACCAAGGTGAAAGGACCCTTGAGGTTTTCTTCCCTAGGTGGTCACATGTGTCACACATTCCTTTTCCAAGTCTCCCCACTGGGCACTGGACTACGCTAGTCTAAAGTTGTTACTAAGACATTCTCAGGCGCACAATTGCATGAGATGGGAAAAATGGAAAACCACAGCCCTAAGAACAGCCAGTACACTTGGTGAGGGCCCAGCATGGCTGCGTTCTGTAGTTCTAAAACTCCAAACAGAAACAAAGGACTTCTTACAGACACTAATATGGTTTCAGGAATGCCTCAGAAACACACATTTTTCTACTTGGAAAACACTCAAGAACTAAAAGTCACCATCTAGAGACAAAAAGCAAAACATCAATTCATCAGCACCATGTCGAATGAGCCTCAAGTCCTTATGTTGATGAGCAGACTTATCCCTCCTCAGGGAAAAATCTGCTGCCTGAAGCTAGTATCTTCAGGAGAAAGAACAGATAAAACTCAATAAATTAAATTTTATTCATCAAAATAAACAGCTATTTTAAGGTTTGGCACTACATGAAACGTCTTCAGAACAAGAATGGGTTCAAAGACAGACGGCTTCATTATGTGCTAGAGCAGGAAACACCACTTGGTGACTACCACTCTCCAGCCATGGGTCCACAAGGTGTACCCACACCACAGCTGCCGACGCGCAAATCAGAGGGGCCGTATCAAATGCTGGCTGTCTTCCCGAGCATCCCGTGTGGTTGCACAGTTGCTGCTGGGACTCACGTCACATACAGTCCACCACATTAGTGGACCCGTGACCTACATCTCGGATCTGGCTGGTTAAACAGTCACACACGGCTACGCCGGCACCAGCCCTGCAGTGGGACACAGGTCCGACCAGCTCCCACCTGGAAAGACAGGACAAGACTGTCACCACACAGCACTGGGATCCCAACCAAAGACAATATTTGGGACTGTTGGGCTGGTTTTAAAAGACAGTAAGTTTCCAGAGGGAAAAGAGGTCTCCTCAAACTTTATATTAGTAACATAGCATTCCTCTATTGTCTCAACTTTGCTTCCCACAGCTTCAGTTTTCCACAGTAAACCATATTAAATGGGAATTTCTGGAAATAAGCCACTTGGTAAGCTTTAAATGCTATGCTGTTCTGCCTTGCCTAGGATAGCCCCTGATTGGGGTGTCATTTCTGTAGATGCTACCCACTCATTGGTCACTGAGGACCTGGACAACTATCATGGTATCAAGTTCTTTTGCTCAAATAACCTTGTTTTACTTAATAATGGTGCTAGAGTGTAAGAGCAGTGACGCCGGCAAATGGATTTCAGCATACTGCTAAACACGCTCCATTTTATTAGTAATGGTTCACCTTCTGCCATGCCTGACTTCAGCACTGAACTTTATCTTAAGCATGCATGGCAGGGGAAGCAGAGCTATCTATCCATGTCAAGTTTGATTCTACCTGTGGTCTTGGGTACCCACTCAGAGAGGGTGACCCCAGAGGATAATCAAAGAGCTCAGCCTTAATAACATGAAATGATGCGTTCCACTAAGGAAACAGGATGCTACTTACTTATTCAGCACTGGATCAAATGCCTCCACTGTGTTTAGGTATGCATTGCCGTTGTGACCGCCAACTGCAAAGATTTTGCCCATCACCGTTGCGATGCCTACTCCTCCTCGGGGAGTCGTGAGTGCTGCCACATAATCCCACTTGTTGCTTCGGGGGTCATACCGTTCAACTGAACTCAGAGGGGAGTTATCATCAAAACCACCTATGAAAGAAATATTTAAAAAATGGAATTGCATTTCATAAAAACTGACAACTAAGTCTCAACTCAACAGCTTATAAAACTCAAGCTTTTGCTGGGCCTGGTAGAACATGCCGTTAATCCCAGCACTTCGGAGGCAGAGGCAGGCCCTGCAGATCCCTGAGTTTGAGCCCAGCCTGGTCTACATTATGAGTTCCAGGACAGCCAGAACTAGGTAGAGAGACCCTGTCTCAAACAAAACAAAACAAAACCCTCAAGCTTTTGGTTTGTTTTGTTTTTTGTTTTTCCGAGACAGGGTTTCTCTGTGTAGCCCTGGCTGTTCTGGAACTCACTCTGTAGACAAGGCTGGTCTTGAACTCACAGAGATCTGCCTCCCCAGTGCTGGGATTAAAGGTGTGTGCCATCACCATATGCTTTCAAAGCTATTTTAGAGTGATTTACAGAAAAAAAAGATTACCCTAATACCTAGCTACCACCAACAACTACAATTTTCTACAAGTCAACTCTATGTAGTCAGTATTGTACTTTAACAGTAGTCTTGGATCTTTTTTTCTCTAGGTTTTGAGGCAGGGTTGCAAAAACTGAGAGGTCTTAGCCTCCTCGGTGCTGGGATTGTGGGTGTATACCACCATGCCTGGATTTAAAGTCTCAAGTGAAAAAGAACAGGAGTTGCTGTAGGAAAGACGATTTATAGGAAGGAAGCAGCCATTCATAATCCTACCTGAGGGGCAAGAAGATGGGCTCCCTCTGTGTGCAGGGAGGTCTGAGAAATACTGACCCTCACCAAACCAGGAGGCCCATCCAGAGAAAGGAACTCATTTTCCAGGGCTCTTCTTAAAACTAAGCATTCTTGCCAGCAAAACTGCTGAGCCGGTGGGCTATGGCTGAATCCTCACCTATGTTTGCCAAAGCCATGTCTTCCTCCTGTAATATAGTCTATGGGTAAGAACTTTTCAATAGAGCATAACTTAGCCCACTCCTGAGTGATGCCCAACTGTTATGTAACCTCCATCTTTTCCAGGTCCCTTCTAAGTGAGCAGCAGTTCTCTTTAGTGACTCAACCTGTTTTCCTAATATGAGGAAGTGCTGCTTCCCTGTGATCATTTCCTTAAAAATAAGGTCAGCCTTGCCAGGCAGTGGTGGCGCACACCTTTAATCCCAGCACTCGGGAGGCAGAGGCAGGCGGATCTCACTGAGTTCAAGGTCAGCCTGGTCTACAAAGTGAGTTCCAGTACAGCCAAGACTGCTTTACAGAGAAACCCTGCCTTGAAAAAACAAAACAAAACAAAACAAACAAACAGACAAACAAATAAATAAAAAAAGGTCAGCCTAACTGGCCTTGGGGGCACAAGAGCAGGAGAGCTGGCCCTGCACCTCACCAACTGCAGCACAGAGCAAGAGAGCTGGTCCTGGTGGTGTGGGTGCAGGTAAGCTGGCACCTGAAGGCATGAGAGCAGAGAACTGGCCCCGCTCCTTGCTGCCTGCTGGAGTGGGTGAGCTAGCCGGGGCAATGCTGGAGAGCTCACCCTGGTGGTATTAATGAGGGAAAGTAGGCAAGCTGACCAACTCAGCTACCACTCAGGCCCAGAACCAGAGCTATGAGTTTGCCCACCCCAACATCTACCCCATCTATGATCTGCTGGAGCACGTGAAAGAACTGGACCTGAAGATCCAAAACTACAGGACCTCCATGACACAGGACAACAACAGGATATCCAAGAGGAGTCCCAGTGAGGGCCCAGTATCAAGGGTGTAGCAGATGCCAGAGGCCTCGAACCAACCAATGACTCACTGCAGTGAACACTTACAAGTAAAGATGTATGGACTAAAGGGTAAACTGTTTGACTCACTGGGTCACACTACAGCTTCCATGATGAGGGTTGCTTTAATGTTCAATCTGAGTTGTTCTTTCTATCACATCTGTTTTAGCTACAAAGGTCCCAAAGACTTTTAAGTAGCAGCAAAAACGGCACTCCTGTGACCATGTGACACACGGTGCTGACCTATGTTAGTCTGGAAGTGTGAAAGGTTGCACACACACTGTAAGAACTTTGGTTTCCACACACTATCGCACACCACTGTCTCTGCAATGCCTGCAGTGCAAAGGAGGTGAGGGTGAGGTTAACTGTTATTTCCCTTCCTTTTCATGCAAGAGCACAGAGAGGCTCAGCATTACTGCTACTTGCAAATATTAAATACTAATAACAATAACCCACTCTTCTACCAAGAACTATAACATAACCCTCCCAGTACACTTCAGCAGCCCCCAGGATGTATAACATGCTAAGGACCTCTGAGCATAGTTCTTTCTCTGTAAGGGAGATTACCAATGACAACAGAGCAAGGCTTGTGCTGGGCACAGCTGAAGATGCCTAGAGCGCACTGTCTCCACCTCCAGAGACAGTTCTGACAGCTCACAGTCATGTGAAGCCCTGCGGGGGAGCACTGCACTGCAGCACCCTCAGGAGGCTGCTACAACCCAGGCCCTGGCTGCCTCCTTTTCATCCAGTGCAGATGGTTCCGATGCAGGTTAAGAATCCGAGGAAGCACAGCTCTAGAAGTCCTTCTAATCCAGCACTTCAATCAGTCAGACGGCAATAGAAAGACTAACACTACTTCCCACGGAAAAGCCACTCACTTTCTTGAAATTGTAATGTGCTTTGAAATGAACAGGAAGGAAAACAAGTCTTCAGGCCTTTTAGGATTGGTTTTAGCAAAGCATATTTAATTTATGTTTCTACATTTACAAATATATGTTTTATTTGAATGCAATCCCTACTTTAGATATAATCTAAGTTTTTCTTTTGGGATTTTTGTTTGTTTGCTTGAGATAGGGTCTCTCTATATATCCCTGGCTTGCCTGGACCTTACTACGTAGATCAGGGTGACCTCAAACTCACAGAGACCCACTTGCTTCTGCCTCCTAAGTGCTCGGATTAAGGGCATGTGCCATTACACCTGGCAGAAGTTTTAAATATGAAGACTGGAATCAAGAAGGCTTAATGTCAACGTTAAGAATTCAAAAGCACATCTCAGGACGGATTGAGATAACAGTTTGTTACTGTGTCATTTTATGGCATTTGTCACCGTATGTCTTGACAGATTAGAGAGATGACATGTACTCACCAACAACATATAGGCAGCCGTGAAGTTCACTAACACCATTGCCTGCTCTTCGTTGACCCATTTCCTTGACCTCTATCCACTTGTCCAGATGTGGGTGGTACCTCTCCACACTGGATAAGGAGGCCACTCCATCATTGCCACCCACTGCGTAAACATGGTTCTAAAGGAGGGAGAACATGCATCAGTTGGATCGATCTACAGTCCTAACCGATGAGCAGAATGTAGGGAAACTGGTATTTCATGAGCAATTTGGTATACAGTCAACCCTGCAGCTGCTGACGTGAATCAGACCATGGTGACCATGGACGGGGTTGGTGCCTCTCCATGGGAAGTGGCTGTGTCACTTACCACTAAAGCCACAGAGCCAACGCCTCCACGGGGAGTGTTCATTGGTGCCACTGTACTCCACTGGTCAGATTCGATGTCATATCTCTCCACGTCACTAAAGCAAGTATTGTCATCTAACCCTCCAATTGCATATATTGGGCCCCCTAAGGAGGCCAAAGCAATTCCTCTCCTGTAAAAAAAAAAAAAATGAGTAAAACAAGAAAGTTTTATCAATGCAAACCACTTCTGAGGATAATCATCAAAGCATGTGGTTTTCTTCCAATGTTTTAAAATGTACTAAAGTTTCTGAGCATGTGCTCAGATCCCTTGACCTGTACAGTGCATGGCCTACACAGGCTGCTGGAAACTTGGGTCAAGCTCTGTTTTTTTCTTTTTCTTGGGGTTGAGCCCAAAGCCTTGCATCTAACAGGAATGCATTCTACCCCCGAGCTACATCCTAACCCTAAACTCAGAACAAATAATAATGCAAAACCCAACAGAATAGTATAAAGAAATCCAAAGTGTTCAGTTACCAAATAGATAGTTATATAATCGAGGAATCAATGGTTTGATAAGAGAGCAGTCGGCTATGGATTCAAAAAGCCAACTTCAGGTCTGAACCCATGAGTTCATTTTGTTGCAGTTTCATTAAAACGCTGTACAAAGAACGTTCATTTTTCCATCACGTGCTTTGCATGCACTGCTTTATTTCTGAAGAGCATTTGTTTTTTCTTTGAAAGAAAGACTTAGCCCCTACTGAAAGTTAACTCATTGTTATATGGACAATAAAAAAGGACAAATTATAGCCACCAAAAGTTGAGCTATTCTAAATGCTACAGTAGCCTTAGAGGCCTCGGAGGATAAACACTTAACTTAGAGTTGGCTTTAGGTCCCCCCCATTTCCCTGGAAACATCAGAAACGCAAACCTCAGCTCTGCCACTCCTTAAGCTCCCTGGTCAAAGGTGTGGGATGCTCTAGTCCCAGTTATTGGCACACAGCATGTTCTCGGGTGTACTCCTAACCTGCTAATCTTTATGGTAGCCCTGTGTTTACATCATTCAACTTTTTGTTCATCCCTGTACACACTTTATTTTCAAATTATAAACCTATATTTCTGCATAAACAGATATTAATTGCAAAATGTGCACCTGAAGTAAAAGTTTAAAAGTTGACAGAGACCAGCATAAAGAACAATGCAGCTATCATCATATGGCCAGCACAGCATGAAGGGCAATGTGATTATAATCTCCCTGAGCTCTCGTCACTCCTGTGAATGTAGACAACTGTGCTGTAAACACTCTCTTCCTCTCCTTTACTGTAGACGACTGTACTGTAAACACACTACCCCTCTCCTTTACTGTAGATGACTGTACTGTAAACACACTACCCCTCTCCTTTACTGTAGACGACTGTACTGTAAACACACTACCCCTCTCCTTTACTGTAGACAACTGTACTGTAAACACACTACCCCTCTCCTTTACTGTAGACAACTGTAAACACACTACCCCTCTCCTTTACTGTAGACAACTGTAAACACACTACCCCTCTCCTTTACTGTAGACAACTGTACTGTAAACACACTACCCCTCTCCTTTACTGTAGACGACTGTACTGTAAACACACTACCCCTCTCCTTTACTGTAGACGACTGTACTGTAAACACACTACCCCTCTCCTTTACTGTAGACAACTGTACTGTAAACACACTACCCCTCTCCTTTACTGTAGACAACTGTACTGTAAACACACTACCCCTCTCCTTTACTGTAGACAACTGTACTGTAAACACACTACCCCTCTCCTTTACGGTCTATGTTTCACACTGGCACAAGCCAGCTACTCTACTCTGCACAAAACATCCACAAACCCAATCTCCCACCATGTAGTCCTGTTATAACTGATACGTTTTAGGCTTTAATATACACCCTTGTTTGACACTCCTTGAGGGTTTTGTCTACAGAATATTTGGTTTGCTTGTTTTGGGAGCTGCCACTGTTGGCTGCACTTAGTGGTGCTGGGGAATTCAACTCAGGACCTCGGGCATGTCAGGTAAGCACTATGATACAGAGCTGTCTCCTGGGGCTACTGCCTTTTCTGAATCCTGTTTTGGTGACATGATTTTAGTTGCTCTTTCATCTAGATGTTGGAAGTTACTATTCAAATCATTAATACAAATTTATAAGAGGCTTAATTACTGAATCATGTAGTTAACATTCTCCCCTTTAGACAAGCTCTAATAATCAAAATATAGTTCAATTTATTAAAGATGAGAATTTAATATATCTTAAAATTGTAAAGAAAACAGAAATTGAGAGAGCTATTTTCTTAACAAGATAATAATAAGCCTTAGTGCTAGTTAGTATCATGTTTGAGAGAAACACTACATGAATTTTCATTAAGGTCAGAAACAAGACAAAAATACCTGCTTCATTTTCTATTCATATGGCATCAAATTATCAGCCAATAAAGGAGGTATGTGAAACAGATTAGAAACCTAAGAACGTATAAGGAGGGGCTGGAGGGATGCTCAGTGGTCAAGAGCACTCACTGCTCCTGCAGAGGACTGGAGTTTGATGTCTGGCAGTCTTGTTAACCCACTTATAGACAACTGTATCTCTAGCTCCAGGGGATCTGATGTCCTCTCTGGCCTCAGTGGGCACTTGCATGCACGCATGTACATACACACACACATACACACACACACACACACACACACACACACACACACACACACACACACACAATCTATAAAGAAAAATGTATTGGAAAACTGGCAAAAGTTGGCAGCATTGCATCGATGCTTATTTCTGACACTGAACTCCAGCTGTGAGATGTTAGATACGGGAAACTGGGTGAAAGATATATGGATATACCTTGGCATGACAGGAACTTCAAGCCAGGTGATTCTTAGCTCTAGAGGGCTACCCTCCAGCACTGGAGGACTTTTAGCAGCATCCCTGAGCTCTGCCTATGAGATACTAGCAGTAACTGTCTGGCGGAGGAGGTAATATGATCTTCAGCTGAGAATACCTGACACCTGGAACTCTACATACTCTTGGATAACAAGTGTAAGGCCTGCCTGGAAGACATGAGATCCTGTCTCGATACAACACAACAAAACAAAAAGAAACAGAGCACAATACCAAGGGCTGCTGAGGTGGCTCAGCAGACAAAGGCATTTGCCACTGAGCTTGATGACCTGAGCCTGACCCCTGGAAACCATGATGGAAGGAGAGAACTGACTCCTGTGAGCTCTCCCTGACCTCCACACATGCACTCCTGGTGCAGGGAGGCATGCACCTCCCTTCTCCTCCACCAAATAAATAAATGAGTGCAAAAAGCATTTTAAATAAAATTAGACAAAATGAACAAAAAAAGGAATGCTACCATATTTGCAACTTTTCTGGAAAACCAAAAACAACAACAACAAAAAACCTAAAGTCGTTTCAAACAAAAAGTTTCCTAAAGAGCAGCAAGGCTTCCTACAGAAGACTGTGACTACCATGATGGGAACTAAAAGGCAAAAGTCCATTCAAACCAGTTTGAAAGTGCGTGTGTGAGTGTGTGTGCACGCACATGTGTGTACAGGTGCTGGAGGAGTCCACAACAGGGTGTCAGCCTCACAAAGCTGGAGTTATAGGTGGTTGTGAGCTGCTCGATGTGGGTGCTGTGAACTGAACCTCTGGAAGAGCTGCACACACCTTAACTGCTGATCCATCTGGCTACATCCTTATGATTCCATTATTTTTTTTTAAACATTTATTTATTTTATGTGCATTAGTGTTTTGCCTGCATGTATGTCTGTGTGAGGGTGTCTGATCCTCTGGAACTAGAGTTACAGACAATTGTTAGCTGCCATGTGGGTGCTGGGAATTGAACCCTGGTCTTCTGGAAGAGTGCTATTGACCACAGAGCCATCTCTCCAGCCCCCTATGATTCCATTCTTAAATACAAAAAATTGTGATTCTTTGCCAAAACGGGCTTGAGAAGGATAAGTTTCTAAATTTAGAAGAAAACTTCAAAATAAGATTTTTTTTTTCAGTATTGTCTTTTAACTTTACACTATCAATTCAATAGGAATTTGCAGGGACCTACCTCTTGGTGTTCATTGACGCCTTCATCATCCATTTATTAGTGAGAGGATCAAACATCTCCATGCTACCTAAATGCTCATTTCCATCATGTCCACCCACTGCATACACTTTACCTGTCAAAAAAAGAAGTATTTTTATTTAATTCCCAAGTGTTACTGTTTACATGTAAACAATACATGACTAGAATGTCATAATAAATTAACTTTTAACATTTTTTTCTGCTCAACATTGAATTGAGGTCATCAGTAGGAAGTGAAAAATCAGTGCAAGCTTTCAATAAACATGTCCTTGTGTGTACAGCTATAATGCTTCCAAACATCATTCTTGGTTTTCACCACTTTTTCTCAAATAGTAAATGAAATCATTAATTCTGCTTTCAAAACAGGTCAATAAAATGGAAAAAGGCTAACAACAAATAAGGAAAATATAAAACTGTTAATACAAAATGACCAACCTTTTTCTGAGTAAAAAAAAATACAGAAAGTGAGAAGACTGTGGTCTATCACCAAACTATATCCTCAGCTGCCTCGGCATTTTCCTACACTGTACAGTTAGAGAAACAAGATTTTAAATCATTACTAAAAATTAATTAACTTCAGAACCCTAGAGAAATTGTTAGAAGGATTTTAAGAATCACCGTTTCTTCATTTTATGAGAGTCCTAATGTTTCTGAAAACACAGAGGCTGGGGATAGCTCAGCAGTCAAGAGTGCTTGGTGCTCTTGCAGACAACCCAACAGTACCACACTGATGCTCGAAACTGTCCAGAACCCCGTTCCAGTGGGATCTGATGCCCTCTTCTGGCCTCTTCTTGCACCACGTACACACATGGTGTACATACATACATGCAGACACACAGTCATACACATAAAATAAAATTAGCTGGGTGGTGGTGGCGGCACACCTTTAATCCAGCACTTGATAGATCTCTGACTTTGAGCAAGCCTGGTCTACAGAGCGAGTTCTAGGACAGTCAGGGCTACAGAGAAACCCTGTCTCAGAAAACCAAAAATGAATAAACAAATAAATAAACAAACAATAAAATAAATAATAAAAAATCTCTTAAAATATATAAAAAATAACTAAGGAGCTAGGAATGTAGCTCAGTTGGCAGAGTTCTTGCCTACCACACAGGAAACCCTGAGTCAGCTCCCAGCACTGAGTAAACTAGATGTGGTGTGCACACCTGTGATCCCAGCCCAAGAGGTAGAAGCAGGAAGATCAGAGGTTCAATGTCAGCCTCAGGTACACAGTGAGTTTCAAGACACAAGGGACCTTCTCTTGAAAATTTTAGTAAAAACTAAAACTGATTTAGAACTAAAATATTTACGATAATTGATCCCAGGACATTTCATACATAAGGCAAGTGTTCTACCACTGAGACACGTTTCCAGCCCTTGGCAACTTGAACCAGGGTCTTGCCATGTAGCTCAGGCTGGCCTGGAACCAAAATCCTCCTGCCTCAGTCTCCAAATGCTGGGATTATAAGTATGTGCCACCATGCCCAGCCACAAGAATTTTGCTTTCCAGCTGCTCATTTTAAAATTTATATACCAATTTGATAATTTGTATAGCAATATACTAATTTCTATACCAACATGCCAAGCATCTGTGGACAGAGGCAAGCAAATGACCACCACTCAAAAATTTCATCAATATATTAAAATACTTTACAGTTAATATGTTTCCTTATAAAAAGAAAATCTCAAAGCTCGTGTAATTAAGAAAAGCACCATGGTTTTACGATATCATTCAGCAACAACAGACCCACCTTCCACAGAGATCACACCCACATGCCGCCTTCGGCTATTCATTTCTGGTCCAAAGAACCAACTGTTTTTGTTGATAGAATAGCATTCAATACTACGAAAGGGGTCACCAGATCCACCTCGACCACCTACACAGAACAGCACACCTGAAAGCAAAGCCACAAGACACAGATCAATAGCATGGCTTTTTAAAACTTTATTTTTAATTAGTGGGGAAAACAATTGTCAAATTCTGAGTAACTTTTTTAAAGGGTGAGCTATGAAATCTAATTTTCTTTTTGTCCCCTTTCCTTGAACTTCTCAAAGAATGTGATTCATCAGTTATCTATCCTTTTCTGTATGCTCGCTCATTACAAGTGTCCTTGCTAAAGTCCTAACAGTCATTTCACTTGTTTTTGTCTAGGAAAAAGGACACACATACTCATATAATGCAAAGAGGGCCTCTGTCCCGGCCACTGCGGAGCTGCCCGCCTTAATCAACCTCTAAAGCCTCCCCACTGAACATAAATGCAGAGTCAAGTACGTTCACTCACCTGTTTGGGAAATTCCTTTCTTTGGTGCCTGTGACACCCAGGTTTCCTTTCTGCTTTCATGTTCCACACACTGCCCACTCATCACTGTCTACACTCTCAGGAGAGGTTCATCTCTGTGTTAAATTGCTCGTATCACGGTATCTTCAACTAACATGCCTAAGCTATGCTGCCACCTGAGCCTACAGAGCCCTGAGACCAGTGTGCCCAGAGCATCTCCTTCCTTCCTTTCCCAACATGTCACGCCTGTCAAGCTGCCACTATCTCGGTGCAGGTCTCCACCAGCTACAGCTCAGTTGCAAGATCCAGCCTGTCCTCACTAAGAAGTCATTTTGCTTCTAGACTGCCAACAGAACTGTGATGGTTTAAATGAAAACGGCCCCCATAGGCCCACAGGGAGTGTCACTATTAGGAAGTGTGGCGTTGTTGGAGTAGGTGTGGCCTTATTGGAGGAAGTGTGTCACTGGGGGTGGGCTTTGAGGTTTCAGATGCTCAAGCCTGGCCCAGTTTGCTGTTCTCTTTTCCTGCTGCCATGGATCTGGGTGTAGAACTCTCAGCTACTCCTCCAGCACCATATCTGCCTGAATGCCACCATGTCCTGCCATGATGACAACGGACTGAGCCCCTGAAACTGTAAGCCACCCCAATTAGATGTTTTCCTTTATAAGAGTTGCTGTGGCCGGGCGGTTGTGGTGCACACCTTTAATCCCAGCACTCGGGAGGCAGAGGCAGGTGGATCTCTGTGAGTTCGAGGCCAGCCTGGGCTACAGAGTGAGTTCCAGGAAAAAGCTACACAGAGAAACTGTCTCGAAATATCAAAAAAAAAATTATTAAAAAAAAAAAGAGTTGTTGTGGTCATGGTGTCTCTTCACAGAAATAAAACCCTAACAAAGACAAGGACAATCCGATAAAAGACTGTTTCAACACTCTCCCATAACCTCTACCCAAAAACTTCAGCAAATGCCCTGAACTGTAAAAATGGTTAAAATGACATATTTTATATCTATTTATCACAACTGAGAAAAAGCAACTTTAATGTAATTCAGAATCAGTATTCAGAAGGTATAAAGTAGAGATCTGGGGTCTGACCCTCAGAGTCTCTGATTCAGTCATTTAGGGAAAGATTTAAGGATTGTATTTCTAACAGGCTCCTGGGGGTGACCGTTTTCATCACACTCTGAGTGCCTTCAAGGTAAAACTAGAGATGTGCTCAGGGTTAGAATGTTTGTCTGAGGGCTGGGAATCATCCTCAGGACTGCAAGAAAAACAAATGATGCCTTTATCACAGCATAAATGCCCTCTAGTCTAACCCTACCAACAGTTCAAGCTCCAGCGCATGCATCCAGTGCCCATCCTTGGAGCTCCTACAGCGCTTTTGGTAATTATCATTCACCTACACATGACTGAAATGTCCATACGCTGACAACTGCCACCCCAAACTAGAGTACGACTGTGGTAGTGAGCATTATGCACTAACTAGATAGTGCCTGGCATGTGCTCAGCTGTGGAAGTGAGTGTTTACACACTAACTAGATAGTGCCTGGCATGTGCTCAGCTGTTTCAAAGTGAGCATTTACACACTAACAGATAGTGCCTGGCATGTGCTCAGCTGTGGAAGTGAGTGTTTATACACTAACTAGACAGTACCTGGCATGTGCTCACTGTAGAAGTGAACATTTACACACGAATTAGACAGTACCTGGCATGTGCTCACCATGGAAGTGAGCATTTACACACTAACTAGATAGTGCCTGGCATGTCCTTGGCACTCTGGGGAGGTAAAGGAGGCTTCTGAAGAGCATTCCCGCTAACTGGCATCCTGAAGACCATCTATGTATTATTTAAAACAAAGGCTGAGCTTTACTTTCTCTTTAAAACTTTTCCTGTCCCTTACAAAGTAGCCACCACCACTCGGCACCCCGCACTTGGTGGCCCCAGCAAAGCACCTGCACTCCTCTACTGAATTTATCTCTTCAATTATCTTTCCCCAACCAGGCTGTTTGTCTGCTTTTCTACAGCCCGTTCCAGAGTCTGCAACGGAGGAGGCATTTAATGTCTGCTGAGTGACTACGGAAATGAGTGAGTTGACCCACTCGTGCTCCCTTTCCCACTAATTCAACACTTTGAGTCAGAGAAGCTCAGGTAAGAGGAGACCTAAAAGATCACGCAGTCAAGTTGATAATAAACCAAGGCCTCGAAAGATTAACAGCGGCAGGAATAGAATCCCAGAATGTAATCTTATCTCAGATGACATTTTTTCTAAACTACATCAGTCACCTTTGAACATGTTATGAAAGAAAAAAACAAACAAAAAGCTAAAATGGAGGCAAAAATATCAGAATACAAATGTGGTTTCTGTCTAGTTTGGAAAATTCCAGCCCCATTACTGGTTGTCTCTTCCCTAAATGGAAGAACACCATCTACCTCATAAAAGGCTGAGTCCTTTGTTAAAACCCGCTCTGTAATGTTCTTATGATATATGAGACCACACACTGACATTTGGTATATTTTGGCATGAACTGAGGCTGCTGAGATGGTGAATTTAAATCTGGGTTTGTAGAATGCTTGCCTAGCATGCACAGAGCCCTGGGCTTCACCCCACAGCAAACAAACCAGCAGAGAAAACAGTGGACTTAAAGATTTTAATTAAACATCTTAAACGTATGAGACAGGATTCACAAAAATAGAGTTCCGTGATGGGGAAAAAAAAAAGGACCCTTTTTTAAAGACATGGTTGGTCTGGAAGTTTACATAGTCACTGTGTAGACTAGGCTGGCATCAAACTCACAAGATAAAAATCTACCTCCCTCTCTCTCAAAAAAGTGCTGGGATTAAAGACATAACTAAAAGTGCTGCTGGCTGTAACTGAAAACCTTAATTCTACTTACTAACATAAAAAGAAGAAACAATGGCTAATTATTTAGAAGAACATCTCCAGAAGCAGGTGGGCTCATACTGAAGGAACCCTTTTCTGTGGTATCAGGCTAGTCCCACATCACTATTGGGTAACAATGCAGAGGAAACCTCTGTACAGGATTCCGTTTGCTGAGCTGTTGGACTTCACTAATGTTCTCTCATCCTGGTCAGCCAGGGATACACGGGGACTTCAGGCAAGCCTGGGTTGTATACCCATCTCACACACACACACACACACACACACACACACACACACACACACACACACACACACTTTTCTTGGGGAAATATAAAGTCTAAAAGTGGTATAACTAATGTGAAGCTGTATGCTCCTTAAATGTAAGAGTTTTAAATTCTAAGGGCTTAACAGCCCTTCATACAAATGTTTTTATGCTTTTCTTTGATTTGGTAAAATATAATGACAAGTACTGAAATATGTAATGTGTGTCAAGCTCAAAGTTTGGCACTATAGATACGAGCCTTAAAGATCTTCAGCCATTTCTTAAGAACATGTCAATCTCAAGACATGTCAATAAACAGATTACAAAGCAACATAGCCAAACAAATTCCAACAAAGCTCTCTAAAGGCACAAATGGTGGCCAAAGAATCAGGGAGGACCTCAGAGGAAAAGCTATTACTCCAGACTCTGTAGAATTTACAGTCTTTTATAAAAACTGGCTATTGTAGCCAGGCACAGCAGTGCATGACTATGATCAAGCATTCAGGAGGCAGAGGCAGGGCTGTGAGTTTAAGGACAGCCTGGGCTACAATGGGATTCTGTCTCATTAAAGCAAACTCAAAAAACCAAGAAATTGCTGTGTTAGTAAAACTAAATGATGTACATTAAGAATCGTGGATACACACATAAACCTACATACTAATTATTATCTTAAGACACTCAGACCCAAATTATCTGACTATTAAGTTTAGGCATACATAACCCAGCCCTCAGATATATCAAATGCCCTTTCTGACTAACCCAGCCCTCAGATATATCAAATGCCCTTTCTGGCAAGTGGCTGAAATGAGCATAATTTACTCACCAGCCGTATGCTTCCTTGGGGTAGTGCGGACCGTGTACTCAAAGTCAGGGACCGGTTTGCTGCTCAAATGAAGGTGATAGTTCCTTGCTTCATCCAAGAGATCTCTACATTTTAGGTTTTGCTTGACAATCTGTTCTTTTGCCACAACACCCATAAGAAAATCAACTGGCAATAATGGCAGACGAACCTACGATCATGAACAATTACAAGTGGAAAGTTAGAAGTTGAAAATAATTGTTACACATGCTTTAAAAAATCCAATTATAATCTTGCTTTGAATATGTTTTCTTCCTCTGAATAAAAATATAAATAAATTTGCTCTTAATATGTTAAGATTTTGATAACACCATTAAGACTTTTTATTAAATTTGAGCATAACTGAGCTGGTGACTCACGTCTGCAGTCCCAGAATATGGGAGGCCAAGAGAGAAGGGCTCTGGATTTGGGGCCAGTCTAAGTGACAGAGTACCAGGCTAGTCTGGGCTATATAGACTCTGTGTCCAAACAACAAACTGAATTAAGTACCCAATGGTTTTAGCTTTGTTTTGTTTTGAGACACATTTTAACGCAGCCCTGGCTGGTCTCAAACCTGCTGTGTAGCCCAGGATGCTTCCCAGCTCTGCTCCTCTTGCCTTATCTCCTAAGTGCTGCAATTACAGGCACGCATCACCACGTCTGCCTTGGGCTGTGCTGAGGATCAAACCCAGGGCTTTATCCATGGTAGGCAAGCATTCTGTCCACTGAGCTACATCCCTACCCTGATCCAGTATTTTTATCAATTATCAAGTTTTAACAAAGCATTAATTCAGAAAAAGGTAAGTAAGTGAAACTATTCCTCTTCAGGTAGCATCATTTTACTTCTCAGTAAACAAAGTCAACCAAAGGAGGAAGAGGTGGAGGGAGAACAAGAGGAGACAGCAGGAAGGAAATGGACCACGGGGTACAGGTCCTGGAAGGCCTCGTTGTTAGTTCCTTACCAAAGTACCCACAGTACAGCTACAACACAGTGACAATCATAACACACATTCCTGAAGTTTCAGAATAAACTTCAGCATGCAAAGTGATGCCATGTGGCTTTTTTTCAGAATAGATCTACAATTGTTAGGAATGGCTACACTTTCATTAGGAAAATGCTTCATTAAAACTTAGAAACTTCAGCCGGGCGGTGGTGGCGCACGCCTTTAATCCCAGCACTCGGGAGGCAGAGCCTGGCGGATCTCTGTGAGTTCGAGGCCAGCCTGGGCTACCAAGTGAGTTCCAGGAAAGGCGCAAAGCTACACAGAGAAACCCTGTCTCGAAAAACCAAAAAAAACAAAAAAAAACAAAAAAAAACTTAGAAACTTCATAATAAAGTCAGATATAGGTTTCAGGTAGAACTATTTCCTAACACAGTCTCCATTACTATTTCATATGAATATTTTAAATATTTGAACTAAAAATCATTCCAATACAAGATATGAAGATTATCTTTAGTGTAGGAACTGTACAGGACATGAGGAGTTAACTCCAGATTGCACCCCTTCAGACACATGACAGCACACAGCAATGCACAACATGGACTTGCTCCCACCTAACCTCATCCCCACACAGTCCTACTTCAGCCCTACCTGTGCAAGTGTCTCATCCAGCCATTTGGAATGATGCTGGGGATTGGCAAGAAGCCACTTGATAGCAGCACTGTAGACCTGCTTTTCACTGTCGATGTTGAGATCACTGGAGGACAGAAGCTTGTGGAGGTGCTGGGGTGACACACTTACGAAGTCTTCACACTCCACAACTTCAGTAAAGTGCTCACAGGCATACTGGTCCGCCATGTCCATCAGGTCTATTCGGTTGTGACTCTCCGCAAAGGCTCGTACTGCCAGGCAATTGGAGGGATGAAAATGTAACTTCATATATTCACAGCAAGCCCTGGCCACCAGTTCCACCTGCAGGATACAGGCTGCATACAGGAGAGGCTGGACGTTGTCTACTGTCAAAGTGAGCCGTGAAGAGTAGACGAATTTCACCAAGTCTTCCACGGCATCACCATCAAAGTCTCGAATCTCAATCAGCGCCTGCTTGGCTTCAGCCATTTCAGAAAGAAACATGGCTCTGAAGTAGGGAATCACACAAGCTAGCACCAATTTGTGACAGGAGATCAGCTTTGAGCCAACCTGTTCAAAATAGCACACACAATGAGAGGGCAGTTCCAGAGCACACTCACCCTCACGTCAGCAGAGAACACAGGCTGTAGACAAGGACAAGGTTCTAAGCAGCTTGGACTCGAGGGTCATCTGAATAACGCAATCCTTTAGCTATTTAGCCTTCAACCTAGGCCAGTTTCTTTTTTGTTTTGGTTTTTCGAGACAGGGTTTCTCTGTGAGCTTTGCGCCTTTCCTGGATCTCGCGCTGTAGACCAGGCTGGCCTCGAACTCACAGAGATCCGCCTGCCTCTGCCTCCCGAGTGCTGGGATTAAAGGCGTGCGCCACCACCGCCCGGCGCCAGTTTCTTAAAGTCAGGTAATTTTCATCTCCCAAGTTTTCCACACTGAACTATTGTTTTCTATATTATATCATATTTGAGGATCATTTCGTGAAATAGTAAACATTTTTAAGGTAGCCTAAAAATATCATTTTAACAGTTATCTGAGGGCTGGGACTATACCTTAGTGATAGTGTGCTTGCCTTGCATGTGTGAGGCCTTAAGTTGAATTCCCAGCCACAAAAGTAAAAATTGACAACACTCTATTACATAATAGTGCAATTTCCAGAGAATCATTATTTTAATACTAATTTCCCACCAAAGCTATAAAAATCAATAGCTAGAGGGGTAGTTTGAAAGAGAATGGCTCCCATAGGCTAATATAATTGAGAGTTTGGTTCTGAGTGGGTGGAACTGTTTGGGAAGGATTAGGAGGTGTGGCCTTTTTGGAGAAGGGCTTTGAGATTTCAAAAGTCCATGCCATTCCCAGTTAGCTCTCTTTCTTTCTTTCTTTCTGCCTCTTGGTTGTTGTCTCAACATTTAAGCTGTCAACTACTGCTCCATCACTATGCCTGCCAACCTGCCTGATAATCACATTCTCTGCCATGATGGTCATGGACTCACTCTCTGATACTGTAAGCCCCCGATAAATGCTTTCTTTTATAAGTTGCCTGAGCACAATGTCTCTTCACAGCAACAGAAGAGTAACTAAGACAGCCAGCCAATTATTTTCATGTAGATTATAATAAAACTTTGATCTTCTACACCTCTATTTCAATTTCTTGATCTAAAAAAAAACAAAAAAAAAATTTAAAATGTGGTCATGCCCTCCCAACCCCAATGTACTCTTTTAGAATAACTACACATCCTAAAGTCTAAAGATCTTTGGATAACCATATATGAAATACACAAAAACCTGGCCTTTTACTATATCAACTCTTCTCTGATGTTATATATTTTATCATATTCTGTAAAGTTTATTTCTGTATTTTCCTTTCTGGTACATAACAATACTTATCAGTTAGCAAAAACATTTAATCTTCCCGCAGTTTCCCCAACAAAACAGCTGCCTTAGAGGTAGGAGTTTGTCTTAGCATGTGAGTACTCAGTCCACTCACTAGCACCTAAACAATAAAGGTTGTAAAAATGCTCACCCAAATATAACTTTAGAGCTTTCCTTGAAAGGAAAGTATTTACTTATTTTCCTTATATAAATAAATATACAGTATTTAAAAATATTCCCACTAGTAAACATAATAGTACATAAACAATTTTACCTCCTGTAACGATCTGGCTGGTTTTGTTTGAGGTATTGTGCCTATGCAGTTCGTTTGGAAATGTAGGGTGAAGTTCTAGTTTTTGAAAGCTATTATTATAAACTATGTAGGATAATCAGGAACATAGGTTAGTGGTTAGTCATTTATGACAATCAAATTTGTAGATTTGCATTCCAGATCATATAGAGATATATTTTAGATAGGTGGTCTTGAAACCTTTCAAAGACCTATGGAATATGGCATTTAAAATGTTTAGTTAACCTAAAGTTTTTCATGACAATGAGACATATCTGCTCCTGGCAGCACCAATTTACTTCAGAGATGATGGGCATTGAAGAGACTCCTTATGGAGTTTGCTTTCATTGTGCCAAGGTTAGCCACTGGGCAAAGAAACTGCTCTTGCCTTTGACAGCTGACAATGTGCTGTGCAGACTGGACATGCAGGACACACAGGAAAAAGACTGTTGAACTTTGCCAAAGCAAGGCAGGATAGTCCTTCAAAATTCCTGCTTCACACAAGAGTCTGCCAGATATTCTGCAGGACACAGAAGAAAATGACTGATGAATTTTGCCAAAAGAAGGCAAGACAGTCTTTCATATTTCCTGCTTCACTGAAAAGTCTGCCAGATACTCTAGCTGGCACATACCCAAGACGACACAAAAGTTGGCAGAGGATGCAATGGGGGAGTAGAACTGGAAGGAGTTGGGGCATGGGGCTGAATATGATCAAAATACAATGTATTTTGGGAATTCTTTGGGAATCTCATCCCAAAGAATTAATGAAGGGAAAAACTTCCTTATAAAGTTTTTAACAACTCACTGGACAGATTACAGCAATGAGACAGAGGTAAAAATCTCAGACACATAGCAAAAACAGCTAAGAAAACAACCAAAACTTCTTGACTTTTAGGTACAAAAAAGAAATCAAGAGTTTCAAATTCACAAATTAAAAACATCTGAATAATGTTAATTTATTAACTTCGTATTAATAACAACAATTTGGGGACTAGGGAGATAGCTCCATGATACACTGCTTGTTATGCAGCATGAGGACCAGAGTTTGGATCCCCAGCATTCACATAAAGAGACCATGAGAGTTTGGCAGCCTGCCTGTAATCCCATAGGGCAAGCTGGCTAGCTAGTAGAGTGGAAAAGACGAGCTCAGGATCTAGTGAGAGAACCTGTGTCTCAGAAAATAAAATGAAGGGGGGCTGAAGAGACCTTGTGTCAGCTTGTGGCTCCACCCACACATGTGCACATGCTTACACACAAGTAGAACACACATACACACACACAATGATGATGACGATGATGGTCAGGGTTCTAGAACCAGGAACTAAGAATATTGGTACCACACAAATAGCTCCCTGGAAACCCTGCCTCTTGATGTGGACAGAATCCTCCTCAGCTCTTCACAGATCTTCTCATCTTAGTCTTCGCTCCCAGCCCATCTCTGTTCCTCTCTGCCACCCACCCACGTGCAGAAGCACTCCCTACTAGCAACCCACAGTCACCACACTATCCTAAGATCCAGAGATGGCAACAGAGACCAAGGAACACAGCACCCACCCAACAAAAACTTGACCAGATATCAATACCTTGAATTACCTCAATCATCATAACTCAGAAGCCTCGATACCAGTGCAAAAATACAATCATTAACACCCAAGACATATGCCTTCCCCATAACCCAGGAAGCCTCCACAGTAGACCCTGTAGCAGAAATGCAATATGGCTAAGGCACAAGGCAAGGACAATTATATATAAAATGCCAATTAGAGCTGGGCAGTAGTAGTGCATGCCTTTAATCCCAGCACTTGGGAGGCAGAAACAGGTAGGTCTCTGAGTTCAAGGCCAGCCTGGTCTACACAGTGAGTTCCAGGAGAGACAGGGCTATATGAAGAAATCCTGTCTCAGAGATAACAACAAAAGAATCATGAATTAATAGGTGCAAGAACCTTAATGAAAACAGTTCAAGACATGAAAGCAGAAATAAAATCACTAAAGAAAATCCAAACTGATATTGCCAGTGGTCATGTCAGAGGAGCAACAGGTGGCAATTGAAGTTCAGGTATCAGCCACCAGGGGGCGACTTCCTGGTGGGTGAATCTCAGATAGTCAAGTCCCCAAGACCACAGACTCCAAAATGTCTTTGCTTCTGCTGTGCCTTTCCATGTTTGCTGCTGCCATCTTTCTCTGGTATCTGGCATGGTGGGAATGGGTGTGGGGAGATCCCCACTGCCTGTACTGTAGTGTGTTTATCTCATGGAAACACCCCGTTATACTGGGCATTTTTGCCTGTGGATTATTATGAAGATGATTTCTTCCTAAGCTGTACTGTCTAATTGATGATGATGATGATGATGATGATGATGTTGGTGGTGGTGGTGGTGATGATGATAATGTTAGTTTAAATAGAGTTTTGATGATAAAAAATAAAACAAGGAAGTGTCACACAGCTAGAACTCATGAGTTTCTATTGAGGAGCAGCATAGACTGTGGCTTAGGTTAATGATTAAGAAAAACAGCTGAGTCCCAGTAGCCCAGCTAGTTTAAGTTCTTCTAATCTTAATGTTGGGAGATGTGTTCACAGGTTTCAAAGTGCATCATAGCTGAAACAAAGCTTTGAAAATAACTTAGACTAAGATGTTTTCATCAAATAGCTTTGAGGTGAAAAACCCAAGACAATCTAAAGTTTTAGAAAGGCACATAGTTGAGTGAGGAACTCTTTAAGGTCAGGGAACAAGAACAAAGTAGACCAATTATCATTAGCTGATGTACCTTTGTTGCTAGGATTGGTTGATGATCAAAGGTGATGATTAATTCCTTGTACCCATTCCTGTCCTCAATCTCCTGAGATAAAAAACTATTGATGAGTGGGTATGTACCCTAAAGATTTAAAGTAGAATTGACTGATTCTTTTTCATATATAAAAGTTTAGGCTTGTAATTCCTCTAAGATTCCTTATAAGATTACCTTTCAAGATAATAAAGTAATTGGCCCTTTCTTTGTAACTGCAAAATGCAGCCTGTCGGTAAAAGACCTGACTGAAAAGAATATCTTGCTTGCCCACACGGTTAATCTATAACAAGTTGCTTGGGTATGAATATACGTGGGTTCTTGGGATAATTTGTTTTTCACCTATAATACGTAAAATGTTTAATCATGTAAGAGATATAGAAAACATGCTGTCTTTGTACTTGTATTCATTGTAATCATCCACTTGAAAAACAGAATGTAATCACATTGCAATTTTTTTTAAAGATTCATTTATTTATTATGTACACAGTGTTCTAGCTGCATGTACCCCTGCCTGCCAGAAGAGGGCACTCGATCTCATTACAGATGGTTGTGAGCCACCATGTGGTTGCTGGGAACTGAACTCAGCAGCTCTGGAAGAACAGCCAGTGCTCTT